CCACCTCCTGCACTCCCATCCCTGTCCCACACACTAAATGCCTCATTTTTGATCTCACCCCAGAGCCTAGGCGAGCCCAAAAATCCACTAACTCTGGAACACCAGAAGAGTTCATCTGGCCCGAGGCCTTCAATCTCAGCACCTACTAAGGGGCTGGAGCACCAGGGGAGTGAGGTGTTTCAGTTGGAGGTCGCATCAGTATGGGTTGGGGATGGGGATCGGAGGACTATTTTTAGTTTTGCTTTTCACTTGTGTGGTCCCCAACTGATTTTTCTGTGGGTCAGTGGCCCCTGATCCAAAAAAGGTTCCCCACTCCTGCCATAAATCAAGACCCTGTTGAAACCTTATGTGCTGGACATAATATTTTACTTTATTAAAAATGAAGCGTGGCCAACAAGCCCCAAATTTGGGCCCTACTCCCATCTGGCCACAGCATCATAACACTCCTGCATACCTGCACACACCAACTGTGAATTCATCATACACCTTAACACCCTGCCTTGAGGCCCTCATAACCCCACATCCCCAAACTCCTGCACCCCCACATCCCCAGTTCCCTGTCATAACACCCCTGCACCCCTCGTCACACACACCAACCCTGAGCCCAACATATACCCAAACCTCTGCCCTGAGCCCCTCATGCACCCCAACCTAGACTCCTGCACCCCCACATCCCCAGTCCCCTACCATAAGATTGACAGAAGATAGCCTGAATGCGTGCATGAAGCTGGATTTGACCAGTTATGATGGAAACGTCAAAGAAATGTGCAAAAAGATGCAGCAGCAGAAATCCCATTAAATAAAGACTGTGAGCACAATGTTTCATTTGTGCTATTATTAATCATGTCAATTATCAATAATATTAATATTTTTAATATTTAATATTTTCAGTCGTGCTAATGAGCATTCATATAGGGCTCTTTGTTGACCATTTATTCTGAATTTTGATGTAGTTTGGCTCTTTGGTTTGAAAAGTCTGCCAACCCTGATATAAAACATCGCTGCCGTGTTGTCCATCAGGATGATAAAGCATCTGTTTTGAAGCTGTGGCAGGAAAGCGCAGCAAACGAGACCAATAGCCCTCAACTCCCTGACGTCGATATGCAGGGACAGGTCTGTGGGGGACTGCATATCTTGAGCCTGTAGGTCCCTGAATTGGGCTCCCCAACACATATTGGAGGCATCTGTCACCAACCGAATTGACGGGGAAGGGCTGCTGAATGGCATCCTGGCACACACCATGTTATCCTGCAGCCACCAGTCGAGGGACCTCATAACATCCTTGGACGCTGGTACCGCCATGTCCATGGGCTGGAACCGCAGGGCTGTGAACTCGTGTCAACAAAAGCTGAGGTGGGCAAAGCTTGAGCGTGGTGTGCTGTACCACATATGTGCACACTGCCATAAAGCCTAGCAGCCTCATGCAACACCGGGCTGTAGCGATGGGGGACAGGTGGAGCCTAACAACAGCCTCCGGTATTGCTAGGAAACAGACGGCAGGCAGGAAGGCCAGGACTACTGTAGCACTGAGGCAAGCCCCCACAAATTCTGTCCCTTGAGTGGGAATCAGGGTGGACTTGGTCTTGTTCAGAATGAGACCTAACAAGAGGAAGGTTTCCTTGACTAGAGATATATGATCCAGGACCGGGGGAGTAGGGAAACCCCTTTTGAGCCAGTCGTCTAGATACGGGTATACCTGAACCCATCCATTGTGCAAAAAAACAGCGATGACCACCATGCATTTGGTGAACACCCTGGGGGCCACAGAGAGGCCAAAGGAGAGTGCCGTAAACTGAAAATTGTCTCGGCTCACTGCAAAGCAGAGGAGGCACCTGTGAGGTTCCACATCTGAAATGTGGAAGTAAACATCTTTTAGATTGGAGGCAGCATGGCTAGGGAAGGGATGATAGAGGCTAATGTCACCATCTTAAACTTTGACTTCACTTTGAAGGCATTCAGGCCTCTGAGGTCCAGAACGGGACGGAACCTGTACTTGGCCTTTGGAACCAAAAAAGTAATGGGAGGAGAAACCCCTGTCCCTGCGGTCCACCAGAAACTCTTCTACAGCTCCAAGATTGAGGAGCTGTTGCACCTCTAGATGTAAGAGATACTCATGAGAGGGATGGGAGTGGGAGAGAGAGAAGGGGCAGGACAGAAATGGAATCAAGTATCTATTTTCCACTGTATCTAGGACCCAACGAGTCCATCATAATAGTCGACCAGACATGGTGGAAAGGGGATAGTTGGTTGGCAAAGGGCCGTGGTGAACTGGCTGGTATGCTGTCCCCGGGCAGACCTTCAAAGGCTTGTTAGAGGGGCCCGCCCCTCAGTCAGAGGAGGAACAGGATGGCTATCTGATGTTACTGTTATTACATCCTCTTCATTTAGGGAAGTCCAACCTATTGCCCTGCTGGAGAAGGAAGGAGGGGGCTCTGGGGTAGAGAGTGTCTCTGGGGCTGGGGTGTATATCCCTAGGGACTCAAAAGTCACCCTAGAGTCCTTTAGCCCATGCATTCCATTCCGAAAACAGACCTGTGCCCACAAATGGCAGGTCCTGGATTGTGTTCTGGACCTCCGGTGGGATGCCGGAAACCTGGAGTCAAACACTCCTATGTAGTACCAGGCCGGTTGCCATGGTGCGAGCCACTGTGTCAGCAGCGTCCAGGGCTGCCTGGAGGGCCACTCGGGACACTACTTTGCCCTCCTCAGATAAGGCCTTTTACTCCTGTCTGGAATCTTGAGGCAACAATTCCCTAAATTTGTCCACTGCCATCCAGGAATGTAAGGTGTACCTGCTCAAGAGCACCTGTTGGTTGGCAATCCTGAACAGGAAACCACCCCCTCCCCACCACCACCACCAGGCATAGGCCTTGTGACCTAGAAAATACAATTTATTATTCTTCTTGTTTTTAGGGGTAGGTGTTGGCTGGCCCTGGCACTTCCGGTGGTTGGCTGCTTGGACCACAAGCGAGCCTGGCGGGGGATGTGAGAAGAGGTGCTTGTAGCCAACCTGAGGGGCGAAATACCTTTGCTCCCCTGTCTTGTCAGTGGGAGGAACGGAGGCAGCTATCTACCAGAGGGTATTTGTGATTTCACCCACTGTCTTATTCAGTGGCAGGGCCATCTTAGATGGGGCTTCTGCATTTAGAATGTCCACTGTTGGGTCAAAATCCTCTGATACCTGCTTGACCTGCACCCCCAAAGCTTTGGACCAGGTGCTTAAGCAGATCCTGGTGGGCCTGGGATCCATGGATGGCGCAGATGGAGATGCCAAACTGAGGGCCTCGTCTGGGGAGGATGAAGAATCCTCCCATGTAGCAGAGTCCTCATGCTCCTGCGGGTGCTCGGAGGCTTGGGACGCCGTTGACTGGTCTGGTAACCCTCTAGGGCTCTGTTCGCTGACCCCCTCCCAGAGAGCGTCTGGGGGACTGCCTCCGAGCCGAATGTCCTTGGTTCGGTGTCGGGGAGCGAGGTAACAGTGTACCTGATGGCAGTACCCAGGACCCCAAATAGACGAGCCCACCACAGAGGGGGCACCCCCTGGGCCTGATGATAGGCCCAAAGAGTCTAGAAGGGTCACTGAGCTGGGTGCTACCACTGCGAAGGCCAAATCTGCTGCACCAACTGGCTGGAAGTGCTGTAGTGTCGTGAGTGATGACTGGAAAGAGAGTGGTGTTGAGAGCGGGACTGGTGCTAGGAATGGGAATCCATGGCCCAGGACCAGGTGGACTCAATGTCAGAGTCCCAAAGTTAGTCTGACCCCGACAATAGGGGTGCAGAGGAGGGGCCCAGAGACCGGTGCCGAGAGGCATGGCAGACTATAGCCGCTGGCTTGCTCCAGTGCCAAATAGGTGGCGGGGGCATCAGGTATCCCGGTGCCGCAGGCTGCGCTGCTGAAACAGGCACTCAGTGCCATGCCTTCCCCATAGGCCTGGGATGAGGCTGCAACTGGTACTGGTGCTGGTGCCCAGGAACGGTGTGGGTGCCACAGGGCATGAAACAGGGATCCTCTTTGGGATTGGGATTCCAGGCCGTGCTCAGCTGGCCCAAATATGGCTATGGAGCAGAAGGCCTCAAGGCTGGAGCAGGAGAGTCAGAGTGCCCCAATTGAGGGTGCACCCTGGATGCATGCCGTGACGCAGACCTGCCTCTGTCTCCCTCTTCTTTTGAGGCACCAGAGACTGGGAGCAGTGCTGGGTGGCAGGGCAACTCCATGTCAACAAGGCCCCAGAGGCCCCAGGTGCCTCCTGCACAGAAGACAGTGCGCTATGTGAGGCCGGTGCCGGATCAGCAGCCAGTGCTGGGCACAGCGCTGACTCCATTTGGAAGATCTTAAGGTAAAAATCTCTCGCACACTGAGTCTAGGCCGTAAAACTCTGACATTTTTTACAGTGTGCGGAGATATAAGCCTCACCCAAACACTTCAGGCATGAATCGTGCAGGTCTCCATAAAGCATAGGCTTAAGGCAGTCCACGTAGGGCTTAAAGCCTGGGCATGCCTCAGGGAAGGGGAGAGAAGGGGATGCAGTGGGAAAACCCCAACCCAACCCAAACTATCTAACTAGAAAAAAAACACAAACATGAAAAACTTGAAACTTGGAACATGAAAAACTCGAAACTTGGAACATGAAAAACTCAAACAGTAACACTAACTAGCTGTGGATACCACTGATATCACAATTGAGAGAGAGATAAGAGTTCCAACAACTGTCATGGGCGGTAAAAGGGAACTGAGGCGATGGTGGGCCAGCAGGAGATTATATGTGTGCATATGCCAGCGCCACTCCACAGAGCTCCCTGCCAACGTTCTGAACATGAGCAATCCTTGACTGTTTCCAAGTAAACACACTTATGAACTCACATAATTATCAATAGAAAAAGGAATCTCACAGAGTAAAATCTAGGAACCAAATGTTAAGAAGGAGTAGAAAAAGAAATAAGGATAATACAATGGAGATTATAAAATCTCATTTTAGATTCAAAATAAAAGTGCATTTTACCTTATTTGAACTCCTGAATACATATGATTATAGATGTCATTGTCTTCCAACACTCCATGTCCATTGTCATAAAAATAAACACCAACCTGACATTGAAAATGAAATAATTAGTTTATAAGCAAGTAAAAAGTGTGAAAACAGTATTTCTACCATGAAAAACAAGACCCACCTGTTTTCCACTATGTATTCTATTTCTCCTCAGCACTGGAGTACTTCCTGTTGTCACCCAGACTCCAGCCAAAGTATTACTGTAAACTTCATTTTCTTCAATCACACCTTGTCCTTTTTCATGCTAAATATAGACAAGATAAGTAAAAAATAAAAATAGCCTCATACAAATACTGTTTTATGGTCTTTTTTTTCCACTACCAAAAAAAAATTGCTTTGTCCAGGACTAAAGTCCTTTCCTATGGTAGAAGTCTCCCAAAGTTCTCAAGTTACCACCCTTTTAAAAATAATTTTGCACTATTCATGGGACTTTATATTTCTAAACATTTTAAAAATAGATGAAGAATTTCTCTTTATACAACTGATTTAGTACTTGACATTTCAAGGGTTTGTATTGAAGTTAAGAAATCTCTGCTGAGTTTTGTTGGCAGAGATCTGCTCTCAGTTTAGTAGGAAACACCAGGTTAGAACTGGATTAGAACTGTCTGTTAAAAATTAAGTTATATAAATTGGCATGTTTCTTACTTAAGGCATACAACAATTTTTACTGGTGCATTAGTATTTAAAATTAAAACAACATTAGATTCTCAGAGCCAGATACTAAGCAAATAATTATACAATTCTAGTCTGAGAGCTTCATTCAGTTCATTCTATATAATCCTTGGTTTCACATGCTAGAGACCTAGACTCTAGTCTGACTTGTAACTTCTCTGCCTATTTTTATTCATCTATGCCAGTTTGGGGATGGGGACATATGATTTAGTCAGTCTAGTTGTAAATGTGAAATGCTCCAAGATTTCTAGACTTAAGTGTACAGGAAGCCAAAATTTTAGCAAAACCAGATGCAAAGTAAAAGCTTTATATACAGGCAGTCCCCGGGTTACGTACAAGATAGGGACTGTAGGTTTGTTCTTAAGTTGAATCTGTATGTAAGTCGGAACTGGCGTCCAGATTCAGCCGCTGCTGAAACTGACCGC